GATGGTCATGAATTAAATGGTAGGTTTGTAAATTATAATTTCAATGAAATTGTAATGTTACTGTGTAGACAAGTCCTTAACTGGAAACAGCTAAAGAACATTTTCAAAAAGTTCTTGCAAACCAATTATGTGTAAATGCAATTGAATGTGGCACCTATGGAGTCTGAGCATAGAAACAGAGGTATCCAGATCTCTATTCTATGATCTGCGGGGAGTCAAGGAATCCTTGAGTGAATGTGTAAAGAGCAGGTGAAGTCTTGAGTGAATGTGTATTGTTCACGTGGCACAACCATGTCAAAGACAAATGCCCCAATGCATGGGAAGCTGGCCAGCAACTCATCAACTCAAACTGCATAGTCAGAGTGAAGCTGAGCAGTGGTCCACAAGCAAATGTCAGGATCCTGCTGTAAGGCCTTGTCTAATTTGATGCCACCCTCTTAGTTCCCCAGCCAGGTACCACATCTTTGAGGCTGAGACACTGGAAAGCACCCAAGATTCTTCCCACCACCTATACTCCATAGTCTTCTTTACCCCTTGGAATTGACACCTCCAAGTATCTGTTCACTGAGAAGTTTAGGTTTTGTCCATGTATGGTGTCTTTCCTCATCACTGCACACAGGCCCTTTCCTCCCTCTTCTGTTCTTCACCCAGGATCTTAAGTTAGGTTGAAGGGAGTGGGGTTCACATACAGCTGTTTGTCAGGGAGGCATCATTTGTCCCTGTTTCCCTAGGCTAGGTAGAACCCAGTGACCTGACTTGTCACCTCAGCACCCTCACCTAATTACATAAAGCTTCAGTGTGCTAAAATATGGGGTTTGTTCCCCAAAGAGGGGTGTGTGTTTCTTTTCATTTGGGTAAAAATAGGGATGTTATACTTAGATGGTAATGCATATGAAGTGGAGCACTTAACTTCTCACAGGGCACAAATGACTAAACAGAAACCTTGAGCTCTCTTTATAGAACACAGGTTCAGCAAGAGCTATGATAATAGTGTTTGGTTAATGTCAGCTCAGCATTAAATTTACATTAGAGTCTTGTGCAGAAGCTCCAACATTATCTGTTAATAACCAAGGCGGTACCTGGGCTTATATAGACTTCTTGATTTTGCACATGAACTAACACTGCAGCTTGCTGATGAATGATTATGTGAGTTTAGAGCTTTGGTGTACCAAAGGACTCTTTGAATGAATAAAATTCTGGTCAGTGAAGGTCAGTTTCTCTACTCAAGCGAATACAATGTTGTTTCCCTCCTAATCAGATGCTCACAGTGTTTGAAAAATCCAGGAGCCCCACAGAAGTGATGTGCAGCCATAGACTGGGCAGCTCATCCTGCCGAAATGAATAATCCTTAATAAAGGCTCAAACAACCATCACGTCTTCCTGTACTATAATCAGTCGCTTTCATGGTGTGCTCATCAGTGCTTCTCGGGGAAATGCTATAGAGTTAAGTTATCTTCTCTGTCTTGCTTCAAGGAAGGCTGAATTGGTCCAATCAGTCCTCCCCCCATGTTGTATTTGATTCTGCCATAAAGACCAATGCAGTCCGCCTCAGTTGTGGTGCAAGGCCAGTTTCCCTTTCTCTTTCAGGGATCCGTGCCTCTGAGTGGCACTAGACTTGAAACAGCGGGAGTCACTGTCTTTATTGTTAGGCTTCAGAATTTTCTTTAAGCACATTCTAAATCCAGTTTTATGCTTTTTCTACTTTCTTCGAGTCTGGGACAAAGGTGACCCAATTGTGCTTCTTTGATATCGTGAGCTCAGTTCTTTGTGTTCCTGTCACAGAGACATATAACAAAATACAAAGGGTAAAATTGTGTCTGTCTGTATAATAGGAATACTTATTTCATGACTAACGTGACATAATTTTAAAACAATGTTGTCAGTAAGGCCTAGTGCTGCAGGTTTCTAATCTCAGCTGCTTAGAAGGCCAAGGCAGGAGGAGTGCAGGTTCAGGGCCAACCTGGACTACAGAGTGAGTTCAAGGACAGCCTGGGCTATTTAGTGAGACTCCAGGATTTGTGAGTCCATAAGTTCAGTTTCAAGTGCAGGGGGCTGGGGTGGAATTTTGGCAGCTCACACTTGGGAGCTAATAGGCAGAAACCACCTTTCAGGATGCTTTTTTATAGTACTAAGATATGGTTCAAAAATAATCAGACTAATAAAAATGTCACATTGATAGAGTAGCCTACATAAAGATTTTACTTCAAGAAGACATAATTTGGTGAATGTGACTTAGACAGCAATGGTGTTAGGGTTACAGAGTTAGTATAACGATCTCAGGAGAGTATTAAAGTGTTCCCATTGGAGTATATCATTTTTCATTTAACTTTTACAGCTATAAGTGAACTTTAAGAATTAAGGAACTTTAGCTTTAATATCTGTCTAGTTAAAGAATGTGGAGCTTTTTCTTTATATCAGGCTCTAATATAAAGTTATGATACACTACTGTGAAAGAAATAAGTTAATTGAACAATATAGTAAAAATGCATGTACCTTAGACCATTAAAAAATACACAGGTTGTAAAACTGCATAACCTTGATGTCTTTCTCAGTAAATAAATGTGCCGGGTTTAAGTAATTAAAAATGTGTGGGAAAGCAGAAAGAGAGAGTTGAAAATAGCAGTCGTTGTAGGCAGAGTGGCCGTAGCATCACTGAAGACTCTGCCTAGTTCTCTGGTTGGTTGGACAAATATTGCAGCAAATATGAAATGCACGGCAGCTCTGTTTACTATGACAGCCTTTATTTGTCTTGGGTGCAGCCAAGACCACATGCTGTGTTTTGTCATGTTAGAAATACTGAAGCCGATTTCCATTGTTGGTGTGAATTTTTTTTTTAAAGCCTTAACACCTCAGTCTCAAGTCAGCTAGGTAGAAGCAATAAGTTTTCCTTTCCTTTCCATTCCAGCCAAACTCCAATGAATCGTCTGTGCCTCCCCAAAAGGCATGTAGCTGTAGTTCACCATCCTGGTTACGGTCTTGGGACACTGCCATAGCAGGTCCCATCCTTCTCATTTCCAAGGCCTATATCTCCACTGTTTATACAGCTAATTTTATAATTCATGTAGATACCAAAGCTTAACACTTAGTTGAAAATCCCACAGAATATTGTAGCATTGTATACATTCACTTTCTAAAGTGATTCTAAATAGCAGATTCCTGCAGAATTCCTAGTACATTCCTTTTTCTTGGATTGCCAGGTCATTTAGTTAGCAGGGAAATCTGGATAGAAGTGGAAGGGTAGAGGATTATGAGAAAGGAAAGAGCATTGCTTTCATGGATCAGTATTTGAGCTTTTTGTCCTGTGGTCTTTATTGTAGTTTGGTATGAGTTGGTAGTTTTTTTCTAAAGTCATATCATTCTGTCTGAAATAAGCCTAAGGCTAATTTACACTGAGAAGCCTAGTTGCCAGAGAAGAGTAGCACTTAATAAGGCCCTGCTCTGTGAAGTAGAGCACAGGAGATTTGAAGTGGTGGCAGTGGAAATGGCAGTGCCTCAGTCCAAAGTCAATAGACACCCTGAGGAGCAGCAACTTAGTTTAGAGACAGTGCTAAAGAATGACCGCTGTCCACACTGAGTGACTGAGCAGAGGTGAGGTTGTAGGAGGGAAAGGCTCACTCTGGTATGAGCAGCTGTTAAAGTACCTGTTATGTGCACACTGATTGTGTATGCTGAGAAATACTGGGGTGAACAATACCTGTTCTTACAGAGCTGCACTGTAGTAGAAGGGACATAAATAATTGTAAATAGTAAGGGGCATCCTGAAATGGAAACACATATAATAAGGTTATGCATTAAGTTGGTTCACAAAAATAATGACTATGAGGATAGGGAATTACAGACTAGCCGGCATTGGTAAGGTCAGTAGACTCTTCAAAGAGGTCATCTGAATCCTAGGGCAAAGTGAGGAGAAGCTCTGTGTTCTTCATGTAGAGAAAGAGAGGCGAGGGCAGTGCTGCTGGGGAAGAAATAGTCTCTGGTGTTGAAAGACGAGAAGGGGAATTTTCACGGGGGCCACTTGCCAGCGTGAAGGAGGAGAAAGTGGTAGAGAGGGAAAGTGAAGTGACGAAGTGATGATCCCAGGAATGAGTTCATCTTGGGAGTACTGGCAAATGGTAAAACTATATACATGTGTTTTAGAAGTGAAATGTTAACATTTATAGCTTTAGAGACAAAGCTGGAGGCTCGGTAGAATAAGTAGGAATAATAGGGTGTGTTAGTCAAGCAGAGAAGCAGAATGAGGGAGCGTCAAACCCCAGTGTTTGACATGCTGCTATTAAACTGTTCCTTCTGGAATCTCTCCAGTGAAAACACCGGTGCATTTATGGATGAAGCTTTTGAAAATCGTGGCACTCTCCTTTGAAAACACTTCTTAAGGTGTTGAACAGACTTTCTTCCCTGACAAGTTAACTCAGACTGCGTCTCTCTCAGTTTCTCTACCAGCAACTTGGTGCTTCTCCGTCTCTTCCAGTGTAGGAGCAGAGATCTCCTTGGAGATGGCTTACGCTGTCAGCTGGGAACTGTATGCCATTTAGGTCCTATTTCTTTTACCATGGAAAGACTGGGTGGTGTTGGATGCTTGCCAGTAAGATTAAACTGTCCTTGTGACTAAAAACCATCTCAGGACACCTCCACTTTTAGGGAGTCATCAGGATGCTGGCAACATCTGCAGTTGAAATTTAATTTCATATGCAAATTAACAAACTCATGCAGTTTGCTTACAGAAACCAAGTGATTAGGCACAAAACTAATCCATAAATAGGGTTTGGGTTCTTTTTTTTCTTTTCTTTTTCTTTTTTTTAAATTCTAAATTCTGTTTTGCCTGGGGTACAGCGAATTCTTTGTGGACACTTGCCAAACATCTGGACCTCTCTGACACTCCTGGACTCAAAGATACAATTCTGAAACTTTCAGATCCAATCATAAGCTTGCAAGTGACTGCTTGTATTCTAAAGAGCAGTCGATGGTGCAGTAAGTTTACTGGCTTATTTTTCTTTTGGCAGAATTAAAATGCTCTGGTTTCAAGGAAATAGCCTGCAGATTGCCAAAGCCTCCTTTGGACTCTTGCGAAATCTCTCTGCCTCTAACACAGCTCTGCCTGTGCTGACCTTATTCACAAAGGTACTTAGTGAAAAACTAAAATTACACTTAAAAAATAAAGTATTGTTGGGTGAAAAAAAAGTATATATCCATGAAAAAGAGTCAAATCTATAAAGAAAAGCAGTAGGAAATTTTTTTTCAGACCTGTTCTTCACTTTTTCCTCCCCAGACATTTCACTGTTTCTCAGTTATTGAGGGTACACTAATATATACAATGGTCATTTTACCCCTGCATTTAAAAAAGAATTATAGATTGTAATTATGGTGTTTAAAAATATGCTATTTAGAAATAAGTCAATTCTTGTTATTTGTGGTAGTTATGTCCTAAAAGCGCCATAAACATTGAATTAGCAAATACTAAACCTAGGAAAAGTCATGGATTAGGTTCCCATAAGCCCCTGGCCACAGTATTTTTGTGAACCAACTAAATGTATAACCTTAGTTAATGGGTGTTTCTGTTTAAAGATGTAAAATACATATTGTTTAGTCATTAATATTTTGCTCATGGCCAACAATACTACAACTCATGCCTAAATGAAGCTTGTCCAACATTTGTATTTTCTCCATGAGGCACATCACAGCTTTCTTTTAGCACCATGCTTAGGGGTTTGTGTTTTTTTTTTAAATCACCAACAAAAAACACAGCCACAAAAAATGACATTACCCATACAGTCACATCCATGGGACTACCCGTAAGGATACTGACTTATGTTTACAGTATGGGAGCTAAAACAAGAAGGCAAAGTATTACCTTATTAGACCTTACTTTAGAAATGAACACTTCTGACAACTCAACCTTGTTAGAGCTTTGTGCATAAACATGTTCATGACTGACCATAAAAGTGCTTCCAGTATTGTTTGGGGGGTTACAAATTTTATCACATAGGTAAATTCACAAATAATGAAGACTGATTGTACTGGTTTTCTTATCCCTAGCACTACTGTTAAGCCACAGGGGTGTGTGTGTGTGTGTGTGTGTGTGTGTGTGTGTGTGTGTGTGTGTGTAAGAGATATGTGGATATATGCCTTTTTCTATGAACGTGAGCACACATGTGTGTGCAGGTGCATATGGAGGCCTAAGGTTGATATCAGGAGTCTTTCCTCAGTCACTCTCCACCTTATTCTTTGAGGCAGGATCTCTCAGACGTAAGGGATATAGCTAGTCTATCTAACTGACGTGGCCTGGGGATCTCCTGTCTCCACCTTACAAGCACTGGACTTCCAGGCAAGCCACCATGCCCACCCAACATTTACGTAGGCTCTAGGGATCTGAACCCAGTCCCCACACTTGTACTGCAAACGCTTCCACCGCTGAGCCATCTCTTCCCAGCCTTAGTTTAAAATTTTTAAGAGTTTTTCACCCTGTAATTTTATAGTACAAGCATCAATAATGTCTTCTTCCTAGTTAACATCACTTTGTAGAATTTATAATCAAAAAGAAACGTGAAGACAACAGAGTTACTTTTTTTTTTTTTTTTTTTTTTTTTTTTTTTGGTTTTTCGAGACAGGGTTTCTCTGTGTAGCTTTGCGCCTTTCCTGGAACTCACTTGGTAGTCCAGGCTGGCCTCGAACTCACAGAGATCCGCCTGGCTCTGCCTCCCGAGTGCTGGGATTAAAGGCGTGCACCACCACCGCCCGGCAGAGTTACTTTTTTAAACGCAGCAATTCAAACTTTAAAAAAAAAAAGGGTCTTTTTGATAGATTTTTCAAATTTTAGCCATTTGATAATTTTTAAAAAGTTCTGGCCAGGCGGTGGTGGTGCACGCCTTTAATCCCAGCACTCGGGAGGCAGAGGCAGGTGGATGTCTGTGAGTTTGAGGCCAGCCTGGGCTACCAAGTGAGTCCCAGGAAAGGCGCAAAGCTACACAGAGAAGCCCTGTCTCGAAAAACCAAAAAAAAAAAGTTCTGATAGTTGCCTAATAGCAAAGTCTGCCAATTGTGATGGTCCACACCTGTGTCCCCCAGCACTTGGGAGTCAGAGTGAGGCAGGAGGATTGCAGCAGGCTCAGTACAGCCTAGGCTACATAGCAGGTACCAAACCAGCCATGCTTGCATAACAAGACCTTATCTGAACCTCACCCCACCCTCCAAAAATGCAAAGTTAAACCTCTAATTGAGACGATTTTGTCTAAATTGCTTTTCTGTCATCAATATATATTGTCATGTTAGAAATTATAGAGCCAAAAATATTCCATTATCTGAGACAATATCCCCCACAAAACTAGTTGTGCTCACTTGGCCTATGATTGCCATGCACTGTTTTTTGGTTCCAGCAGCAGTTGAGATAGCCAAGAACATTTGCAGAAAATAAACAAACAAAAACCCAAACTTCCACTCATCTTAATATGCATACTAAACTACATACTGAAGTACATAATAAGACATAAGTAACGCACAGTCCAATAAAAGAAGTATAAAAGTCAAGAATTTGTCCTTTATCTATGACAAGTAGTAGAGTATACTTTGCAGATTGAGTTTAAAAGAGGGGTTTCTTGGGTTGTTTTGGTTTCTGGTTCCAGGGAGTACTTGATGCAGGAAACAAGATTACCAGCCTCTTCAGCTTTGTGATCTTCTGGATTAAGTTCATCTTCATATTGGCTCTTCTCGTTTATGACTGCAGCAACCACAAGCTCAGATCTCACATCTCAAATATCTATAGAAATCTCAACAGGAGGCCCATGGCTATTGATGGCTCTGATTGACCCATCCCTGAATCAATCATAGGCAAAAGAGATAGGATGCCCTGAATGTTTGCACCTGTCAAGTGTTCCCCCTTTCTTACTTAGAGATGGAATTAGCCACATGCTAAGAGTACCTCCTGTGGAACAAAACTATAGCTTTCTTGCTACAAGAAAGGATGGGTGGGTATTAGATAACAATCCAACAGTTCAAGAACAGAATGAAAAACAACTGCTGTGGAGAATCTCAGAAAGGCCATCCTGACCATGGGCCTTTTCTTGTCCGGGTACCTGATCCTTTCCAAAGGGTAATGAACCTTTGGAAAGGTATACATAGATACACACTCATATATTTGCATTTGCAATTTACACAAACTTCCACAAACCTGATTTTAAAAGCAAAACACCTTTACTAGGCTCGTCTCAAGCTTTACTATAAAAGAAAACTATAAAGAAATACATTTGAGGCCAGGTAGTGGTGGCGCACACCTTTAATCCCAGCACTTGGGAGGCAGAGGAAGAGGCAGGTAGATCTCTGAGTTTGAGGCCAGCCTGATCTACAAAGTGAGTTCCAGGTCAGCAAGGACTAAACAGAGAAATCCTGTCTTGAAAAACAAAAAACAAAAATTGGTACATCTGCAACTTAGCATGTTCTTGTTTTGCTTTTACTTTTAAGCTCTTACATTGATCTTTTGACAATTTCTCAGAAAATACTAGCATGATTGTCTTACAGCAACAAACTATCCACAGTCTGTTTATTGTTAATGCTAATAACAATTTGATGAGGTGAATCCAGCCAAAAACATCTAGAAATATCCAAGTCCTTATTTTCAAAACATGCTCTGAATTAAGCTGAAAAAAAGGCCTGTCTTTTACATAATAGCTTATCTCTTCCAAATATATTAAAAAGCAGCTTTTACACAAGCAGAACTAATACTGAATCTATGTTGAGCAGCTTTTACACAAGTAACAGTAATAGTGAGTCTGTTTTGAACAGTTTTAACACAAGCAGCAGTAATCCTGTCTTATTTGGAGCTCACATGAGAGAACCTATAACTGGACTCTTTTCTTAGGCACAGAGGCTGAGATTGTTAATATCTGCCAATCTGTGTTCTCCCCATCTTCCCCATAAGGCAGGTGAAGAATACAAACCACAGCGGGTCCTAGGACTTGCCTGTGCTTCAGGTAGAACTTTAGTCCATTGTGGAGACCTCTAATACTGAAACTGGAAAAACACTGTGAAGTGCTGCAGTCGTTCATCTGAATTGAAGAGACTTTTTTTTTCTCCTCTTTAAGGGTAGAACAGTCACTGTTTCACTCCTCCCTGATAGAATTATTCCTCTGGACTGATTAGGAAAACAGGCTCATGAAGTTCAGTAGTTCCTAGTCAGAAAAGACTTAAACCATTCAGGTCAACTGTATGAAGCCACCAAATTGCTCCTTACTTAGGAAGGGCGGAGCCCTTAGCTAGGTAGATAGGTCAGTGAAAAATAGGGAGCATGTAATATGCACACACACAGCAGCAGTAGGTATACATGAGGAAAATAAAACCAACCAAAAAGTGCAGAGAGCATCTCTCCTGAAATAGTAGCTGTTTATGAGATTCTGTGGTAATGTTTTGCTTTGGAAATAAAGCCATGTGATTAACCTAGTAGAAAACTGTCCTTTGCAGTAAATGTAATATGCCCGTAGTGTGTGTTTGGTTTTTTCTTGGGTGGGGGGTGCTATACCAGATACCTGCCTTTGGCTCTAACAGCTTTTGTTCTTCCTGTAGGATCCATGCCCGCTCTGTGATGAAGCCAGAGAAGTACTCAAGCCTTATAAAGACAGGGTAACTTTCATGTATATGGGTGGATAGAGTTTACTGTATAAAGTATCTGCTGAGATCCTTTCTTTAGGAAAAGAGATTAAATGATTTTTCATTTAGAGTTTGTTTTTATTCCTCGGAGAGTTTAGTATTGACTTCCATGAAACTCATTACCCCTAAGTGGTTTTCTCTGAATATTACTGTGTTTTTTTCCGCTCTGATTCTTTCTGTGACTCAGAGTTAACTATCAAGAGTGTTCATGCTTACTTTAAACTTTGGTCCTATTCCTTTTATCTTGCTTTGTAACTTCTATGAATGTGTTTTCCTTTAGCAGACCATTGTTAGCTTGCCCATTCTTACACCAAGACACTTACATCCTTATTTCTAGGCAACTTCCCAGCTAGGACATGTTTTATTTCATTGGGAACAGAGCAGAGCCCTGCTGCTGAATGGAGCAGGTGTAACAGGAAAGTAGGGAAATCAGGAGGTAGAGTGCAATGTAAGGAAACCAGTCAGGCTTTGGAATTTTGGGCCATTGGACTACTGTAGGTCTACACCAACCTGTGGGTTTTCTCCTTTACAAAGTCTGGGGTTGGCACATCATTGCGGTTATTGCAATACTCCATAGCCTGTAAACCCAGTGCTGTAACCTATCCATGTTTTAGTTTATATTGCAGGAGGTGGACATCACACTTCCAGAAAATTCTACTTGGTATGAAAGGTATAGATTTGACATCCCTGTCTTCCATCTGAATGGCCAGTTTCTGATGATGCATCGAGTGAACACCTCAAAGCTTGAAAAACAGCTTCTGAAAATTGAACAGCAGGTGCTGAAGACAAACTGAGGCCTCGTGATTTCCACCCTCTCTGTCAGAAGGCGTCTGCCTGAGGGTATGACTAGGGTTGTGGATTTCCTTGTCAAGTCCATAGTGCCCTTATGATGGTATCCCATAAATACGTTGCCATTACTCTTCTGACTGATGCAGGTACCCACGTGAGAGCAGTTTGCTGATGGGTGTTTTGTAAACCAGAAGTGCTTTGTATGGAGGGAGACCCCGTAGGGAGGGAGCGGTCTGGTCGTTGAGTTTATGTCCCTTTTGTGCAAGGGTGGAAGCACTTGCCATGCACGGGACAGTGCCCCAATGGGAAGGAGGCGCGGCAGTCCTGCTGCTCACAGCCCTGGAGCCTGACTTCAGTGGAGGAAATGCTCTTCCCTCAGGAAAGTGAAATGTGAATTGTTAATAACTGTGCACAGTCAACAAAGGGGTGTTTTAACGAACACATCTGCATGCAGCCTATTTCAGTGGAATTTAATAATACCTGTTTAAAATTAGCATTCACTTTTGTTGAATAGAAGAGAATAATTATCCTAGCCAAAGAGACTTCTCTTCAGAAAGACAAAGGAGACTTAATCCTCCAGAATGTATATAACAGACTCGGCTGTACTTGTCATCATGGAATTGACTTGTGATGTTGAGGACTGCCTTAAGTTCTCATCAATTAAGCTAATTCAACTAATTGTAAGATAGTAACTTTGTCAAATTTTAGTATCTTGGGGAAATTCATTTTGATCATAACTGAACATATGTACCATCTAATCATAAAGTACCATTTTATATAAAGTATTAAAGATGCAGTTTTGTACCCTTGTTTGTATTGTCAGATCTGTCAAACATTGGAATGGATTCACTTAAAAACAAAACTTATTTTTCTCTTAAGTCACATCTCTATGAAGTTCTTCTATGAACTGTTTGGCTATCATGAGCCACTGGATCTGTAAGTGATCAGTATGATTTAGTCTTAGAATTATAGAATATTATAGCCCACTAACCTTAGACATCGTCCTTATATTAGACATGAGAAAGAATCTAAAGTTCAGGAAGTTTGGGTGACCTAGTCCATAGTCATCCGGCCACTCAGCCACTTAGCCAGGACTTGCCCAGAACCCTGGCATTTCTAATGTTCTCTGGAGTTACTAAAGTCCATTGTATTATTTCAAATACAGCATCTCCAGCCACTGTGGGTTCAACACAAAATAAGCTGTCCAAAGTCATAATTTAAGAAAGAACAAAACAGCCTTCCAGTGTCTGGAGATGGTTCAGTCTTAAGAGTACTTATTAAGCCGGGCGGTGGTGGCGCACGCCTTTAATCCCAGCACTCGGGAGGCAGAACCAGGCGGATCTCTGTGAGTTCGAGGCCAGCCTGGGCTGCCAAGTGAGTTCCAGGAAAGGCGCAAAGCTACACAGAGAAACCCTGTCTCGAAAAACCAAAAAAAAAAAAAAGAGTACTTATTGCTCTTCCAGGATCCATATGTTAGCTCACAGCCATCTATGACCCCAGTTCCAGGGGATCAAACAGCCACACATGTGGTGCATGTACATGCATGCAGGCAAAACACTCATACAGATAAAGTAAAATAAGTAAATCTAAAAATTTAAAATCAAAAAGGCCTTATAACTGAAGAGCAGTATTCATCATTTACACATGTTGATACTATATTCATTAAGCCCTAAGTCGGCAGACTTCTAGAATGACACCAGTATCCTCACTCTTGTAAAATTCCCTCCCCCGTGAGTGAATAGCAATGTCTTTGGTGTAGCTGTATATTATATGGCAAGGGGAGATTATCCTGGGTGTTCCTGCTCTAACTGGGCAAGCCGTTGAAAAGCTTCAGAGAAGTAAAAGAGGTCATTTCTAGCTATCCTAGTGGCAAGAAAATATCTATCTTGGAAACTGCCTGCTTGGGGCCACAAAGCAGGAGACAGGGCAGGGAGGGCGTGGTAGTCTCTAGGAGAGCCATAGTTCCTGGGACAACAACCAGCAGGAGAATGGAGACATTAGATCTTCAAGGAAGTAAGTTCTGCCAATAATCAGCTCCAAGAGGACCTAGCCTTGAGGGAGAACTACTGCCCCAGATAGCACCTCAGCTTTAGCGCAGTGAGTCTCTGGGCAGAGAATCCAAATACTCCACACCAGACAGACCCTCAAACAGTAGGCTTGGCCATAAGCGTAGAATTTGGCTCCTCTGAAGCATGATCCTGCTGAGTACTACCAAGTGGTTATGGTGTATAGGAAGTACAGTATATAAAGGTACAGTAGTGCTTCATCAGAATGGTTTCAACAGTAGACATTTTTTTTTCAGGCAAACAAAGATTTTACAATGTGGCTGTGTGTGGTAGTGCACGCTTTTACTTCCAGCACTCAGGAGGCAGAGGCAGGCAAATCTCTGTGAGTTCGAGGCCAGCCTCTATATAGTTCCAGGACAGCCAGAGCTACATAGCAATACGCTTTGTTAAAAAAAAATCTATAATGTACTTATTTTCAAGATATTCAAACTAAGGTATTGATTAAGGTAAAGATTAAAATCCAAAGTGTGGAACACAGGTCTAGGTTTGAGGTGCAGATATTTAAGAGCCACAGGATGTGATTGGAATTTATCCAGTTGGATATCAGGAGGAAAGCAAGCAAGTACCAGGACCTTGAGTATACCCATCTTTACACACAAAACAGAGGAAGTTGTCAGTGACGGGATGAGAGACAACAGAACTGGAAACGGCAGGGGCTTGTCCATTTAGTGTTATATGATAGCTGTGATTTGGTAGTGCCAGCACTGCCCGAAGCAATAGAGATAGCACACCAAACCAACAGCCAGAGATCCTTCTCACAAGGGTTTGCATTCAAGAAGGAATAATAACACATCAATGGAAATAACTCTCTCCTCAGAAAAGCTTTCCTAGGTACTGAGAGCTTTAAATGTCAAGAGAGTTAGGACAGGTCTGAAGAGACTTCAGATTTAAAACAAGGAAATCAGTGCTGCCATAAACTGAATATTTCCCCAAGATATTTGGGTCCTTGTCCCCAGACTTGGGAATGTTTCTTCTAGTGAAAAGGAACTTTGATAGTGGGGTGGATCTCACCATGGAGGAATCCTATTATCCACATTTAATCACATGTCTGAATAAGAGGGAGACAAGAAGGAGATTTGACTGCAGAACAGGAAGGAGGAAATGGGGAAATAGAAGCAAGAGGTTAGCCTGATACAAGAAAGGGGTCACGAGCTTAAGAATCTTAGTGGCTTCCAGAGGGTAAAAAAAGCAAAAGGTCAACAAAGTCTCCCTAGAGCAGAGGTTCCCAACCTTTGGGTTATGACCCCTTTGGAGGTCCAATGATCCTTTCACAGGTCTCCTAAGACCATTGGGACATGCAGATATTTACATTACTATTTTCATAACAGTAGCAAAATTACAGTTATGAAGTAGCAAGAAAAATAATTTTATGGTTAGAGGGGGGTCACCACGACACGAGGAACTGTGTTAAAGGGTCACAGCATTAGGAAGGTGAACCTTCAGAGTGAACAGCTCTGTTAATACCTCAAGTCCACTGGAAGTTATTTTTGACTTCTAGCCTACAGAAGTGGTTTAAATGAAAAATGTTGTCCACTGGCTCATGTATTTGGTGGTGCTGTCATGGAACCTTCAGGAGGTGCAGCCTTGCTGGAGGACAAGTGGGGTTTACAGCCTCGTTCCACTGCGGACTCTGACTTTTTCTGCTTCCTATGTGTGTTTGATATGTTCTCTCTCAGCCCTACCCTAGCTGCCTGCTGTCATGTCTTCCTCACCATGGTGGACACCCCCTCTGGGACCATAACCCAAAACAAACCCTTCTCGGGGTTGCTGTTGGCATAATATTTTATCACAGCAGCAGAAAAATAACAAGCAGTATAAGAGAATACATCTGTGTTCGGTTAACCCACCCAAATTGTGCTCAGTTGTTACCATAGCAATGGGAAATCGATGCAGTTGTTGGCATTGTAAGACCAGTTTTGTGGGAAGGAAGAGGTAGATTGGAAGGAATTATAGTAGAATGAGTCAAAGATTCAGAAAGCCTCCATCTCTTAGAAGTTTTCACAGAAAACCCATTTGAGCCTCTAAGAAATGGTATTCAGAAAAGATCTGAAAGATTGATTATCTCTGCAGTCTCAGGCAGTCCCAGGACTAGGCAGCCTTCATCTTCAGCCTCTCTTAGGAAAGGTTAGTGCCTAGCAATGGAGTTCAGGAGTCCCCTAGGGTGGACCCAACTCTGGAAAGTAAACTATGTTAACCCTTCTTGGTCCACATTTGCATGACTCTTGTTTACCATGGAGACCAGGATGCATTATCCTATGATCCGAAATCCCATACCTGCCACAGATCTTCTCTGTCTATAAAGTCAGAAATACGTATTGACCTTGGAGGCAGAGACAGCAAAGACCGGCCTTTGGTCAGTCTAGTTTAGGCACTGATACTTTGCATTTTACCTCCCCTCTGGTTCAAAGGAAATAATTACCAAAGCTAAGCTTCTGAATTTGAAAACCTGAAATGTAAGCCTTCAGGAAAAAAAAAGGAGAAATATTAGAGTCATACAAAAGATGAAGAATAGTAACACCGAAACAATGCCAGTCAATGGAATAGAAACATGTCCAGCCAGGGTCCCGTAGGAGAGTCAAGAGCATATTGAAATGTTTCATATGAGGTATTAGTGATGGAAAGCCTCTGTCCTTAGAAACAGGCTAGACAGATATCAATAGAGGCTCTTGAGTGATTCTGTAACAGAAGGATATGGAGATGATATAAGCGAAAGGCAAGTTGCGTCTGTGGCCAAAGTGAGCTACTCCCATGCATCAACATGTTGTAACTCCCCTCCAGCAGAACCCTGGCATCAGGGCAGGGTTATACAGAAGACCCCAGCCATCCCATGTCCCCACAACAAGGTCAGCCCATACTCTGGCCACTGAGGCAAGAGAAACACATTTCATTTTCAAAACTTCCTCAAAAATGAATAAAGGGGCCAGTGAGGTGGCTTGTGAATAAAGGCACTTGGTGCCAAGCCTAATGCTCTGAATTCAGTATTTAGGACTCACATAGTAGGAGAGAACCAACTCCCACAGAGAGAAATAAAAACAATGAGTCAAAAGTGTTCAAATACAGAATGGCATTAAACTATCAGTTGGAAAGCTCCCTTACACAGAACAGCTTATTCCTTGGCTTGGTAAGTAAAGCATTGCTCCGTGTTCTTTGTTATGAATTTAATACTGAGAGAAGAAAATGGATACTGACAGAGATGCGGGGGGAAGGGGGAGATTGAGAAAGAACTGCCAGAGGAGCTGAGATTTAGGACTTAACTATAACTCATCCAATATTACTTTGTAAGTGTATTCTCAAAATTGAATTTAAAAAAGAAAGAAAAAGGAAAGGAAAGGTCATGACTGCTCCTAGGTATGGTGGAGGAGAAAGTTTATTGTAGATAAAAGAGAGAACATAGGTAGAGGCAGGACAGAGACATCTGGAAGGGTCCTGAGTGGACATGACCAGACTGAGCTGGGCCATGTGGGGAAAGGGGAAGGGGAATGGAGGAGAGAGAGAGGGAACCAGGGCAGCAGCCATGAGGCCAAAGGTACAAAAGGGGCAGGTAACAAATGTCTGGATTATATGGGAAGAGCCTCTGGGGAAAGGGCAGCCCAGCCCCTGGGCTGGAGAGTTCATGGTAAAGGGCGGGATATGCCAACCATACCCTGTAACAGGTCGGGACTGAGGGATGCTGGGAGAACCTGGAGGCCAGGTCTATTTTCGTATGTTAAATAGGCACCTCAGACATTCGACCTGGGTTTGAA